TTTGTTTGGAGTAGTACCATAAAATTATATATCAATGGAAAGATAATTTAATCAAGAATGTAATGCAACATAGTTTGTTCAATTATCTGTACTGTATTCTATGAAAGGTTATAGCCAAACTTGCTTAGGTTGATATCAGGTAGCTTTCCTTCATCTGATTGTAGCCAATGAGCATGAGTGTTTAGAGAGCCAATCATGTGTCATCTTGTTTTGGCAATGAGCCAATCAGATCACAGTAGGATTCAGTTATTGATGTCATGTATTGAAGCTGAGAGGAGGACATTTGTCAGAGTGTTATGTGATCGCTATCAGGTTGGTTGGGTTTTTTGTGTTCTTACATTTAGTGAGCTTGTAAAACATAATAAAATCAAAGTAATGGTGCAAAGAGTTGACTGGTTGCCCAGAAAGCAATGTAAAATAGTATTATTAAGTGAACAAGGCTACAGTTATAAAGAAATTAAAAGAAAAATTGGTGGAAACTTAACCAAAGGTGGCATTTCTATTGTACACTTTTCCCAAAAGGTTTCCACAATTTTGGCCACTACTGCATGCTTACAATTCCAGCCTCAACCTAATCTAACAAATGTAGAACATAGAACATAGAAAACAGAGTTGAAGGTCAAACAATGTCATCTACTGGAAGTGCACCTTCTTGGTGGCTCTTCCCCCAGGCCTTTGGTGAGGGAGAGTAAGATCTCTCACTTCATCATACTTGCCATCTTTTCTTTTTATCCTTTATGTTTTATTGATTTGGTTGTAATTTATTTGATTCATTATTATTTGAGCCATCAAGATTCATTGAGAGTTGGGAAACATACAAATTGTTGCAGTTGTTGTTGTTGTTGTTGTTATGTTTGCCTCTTTCATACTGAAACTACTGAAATTCCAGTTTATTGAGGAATGGTATGCAGGGTATACTGAAGTAGTTCATGAAGAATTGCTTATTTACCTTTCTAGTGATTATCACATTTTATTGTAAATGTAAACAGCTTTTAAGCGGCTATTCTGACAGCTGTCTCTAAATATAGCAACAAATATCAATCAGCCTCCTCCTCCTGCAGTGGATTTATTGGGCTTATACAAAGGAAGATATTAAAAAAAAACCACTTGTGTGTCACCAAGCCAAGGGTTGGGGAGGGGAATTTGCCAGTTGCTAATAGTTACCTGGCATTTTTGTGTATGACCATGAAGAACAGCTTGTGCCCTTTCACCTCTGATGTTTCCAGAAAAACATGGGTCTCATTTAGGTCAATATGCCTTTATCAAAATGTCAGGAGTGAAAAATGTGTGTTGGTGTAAGCTGACTGGTCCTTCTTTCCACTTGCAGGAGTTTATAGAACAATCAATGTTCTCTAAGCTTCTGCATGTCATGCCAAGAACTGGATGACAGTAACCATTGACTGTATGTCTGTTCCATTGTCTTTAGGGCAGCCCAGATTTGCATATTTGTCAGCGTTCCTGTTATCCAGCAAACCATGGAGGGTCTTTAAAAACTCACAGCTCTTATGCAAATTTTCCGCATGCTATTCCCTTATTCCACAAACCCACGCATTGTGACTCTAAAGGCACCCATAATTTATTCCCTTGCTTTTTTCTATTTTCCTACCCTGCTTACAATATTAAAGTCTAATTTGCATATAGGAAGTTTTGGTTCACTATACCTAGTCTCAGAGTCAATTAATTATAGTTGTCATACATTTTCTTAGTTCGAAGAAAAGTTTCTTTTGCAGAGGAACTATAGTATAATTTATGTATAAACATTCTGATGTTATTTCTTTTTGAAGACATGACCAGATGGCTTCTTTATCTGCATACTAGGTATTTTCATGCAGGGCAGTGTGGAACCTATATTTCCACATATATAGAAAAAAGGACACATTTTAAAGCTAAATTCAGTTACAGTGCTAGTAGTGGTTCCAGGTATCTACATACAAGTTTATACAACAATTCATTGATAAATATTTTACTAAATAAAAACATGAATGTAATAGAAGAAAACAGAATCTATTCTATTACTCTATTAAAATTTTGCTTATTCTTTTTGGCATTATTTCTACTAGAAGCTTTAGTTTTTACGAAGTTTTCCAATGAATTTGAAAAACTGGTATATAAAACTGTAGTTTCTTGTTGTTGCATTTGTAGCTACTTTTCTAATATGACTTTAAAAATTGAAATTTAAGGTATAGTTCTAACTTAATTCTGAGATACTTGGTTAATTTTGGACTTTTCATGCATATAATTATCCTTTAATATAGAAGCCTTTTTAACTTTTTCAGGCATATGTAAGATATCCATATGTAAGATATGATGATCAAATGTGATTAAAGTACAATACTTAGTTTTAATTTTTAATTGTGTTCTTGATTGTTGTTGAAGATTATCATTCTGCAATTATTATTCTTTAAATGAGTGGGGGCTACAGCTATCAGAATTTCCAATCAGGAGGGGCACCATATTGGTAGATGATTGTTACAATTTATTTTATGACTCTCAGACCTGATGTTTCATTTTCTTCAAATAGCATGGTTTTGCGCAGTAGCACAGCAGCCAAGGGATCATGGGGTCCAACACCCTATGGCCAATTTTTTTCTGTTAGGGGACCCTAAATGGGCCTAAAGTCACCCCAGAGAGGGGCAAAGAAGGAGGGGAGCCCCGCCGACCGCAGAGAGATGGCGGCCAATCCGGTCATTCGGGGAAAGCCCTTCAGAAACTAGCAGAAGAAAGGCTAGCTTCACTCCATAGTCTAGCCCAAGCTACAAGCAGCCAAAGCCAAAAAGCACTAATTCAAGCCTGATTGTAAACAATGTGTTTGGAATTGGGTAAGAATATCGATTCTCTCTCTTCTACTTGATAATTGATTTCCTGGGGGGGAAAAAACCCAAGAAGCAAAAATCCTCCAAAAGGGAGAAGGAGGGGGCTCTTGCCCCACCCTCCCACAGAAGGAAGCAGCGAATTAAACTTTTATGAGTAACAGAAATATATTGAAATGTATATAAGACTTACATCTGGATCAGTTTGAAATTGGTGGAATTTGTTAAGATTTTCGTTTCAAAAAATTATTGATGAAGTCAGAAGAAAGTAATTGTTTGTTTTGAAAACTGAAAAAACAAACTGGTGCTGACATCTAGTGGTGGATGAAAATATACAACTACAGTTGCTCTAATATAGGAATTGGCAGAAAGCCCAGAAAAAGATAACTTGTTTTTGTGACCTTCAATGTCTTAACTAAATAGAGAACAGCTGTAACAAAGAAAAGAAAACATTTTGGGCTACCTACAAGGAGAGAACTATAAACCTTAAAAAAATCAACCTTCCTGGATTATAAATAGTTATTGAACTGTGACTCTAAAACTGTTTGCAGAGAAAGGAAAACTTTGACTTTTGGCTATTGTGGAACATCAGAGATCTGCAGAAAGAACATATCAAGAAAAAACAAATACTTTCCAGGAGGAAATGTATGCTATGTTGCAATTGATTCAAACGACAATGATTTCAAACCACAAAGAAATTAAAAACAACTTTGAAAATATAAATGAACACATTTTCAATTTAATCTTACAACAAAAAAACCTCTCAGAAAATAAAAATAGAGAGCAATCAGATAAAGCAGATAATGGAACATGAACCAGAGGAAAGAGATTTAAAGATGGAACCCAATAATGGAAGGAATTATGACTTAACTCAGACAGAGAAAAACTTCCAGGAAATATCGGACATGGAAAAGATAACCTATACTTCAAGATTGCAAAATAAGTTTGAGGACAAGAAAAAACATTTGACAAAATGGATTATAGCGCTGTCAGGAGAACTACGAGAACTTGAGAGACAAAAAATAATAAGATAAATTAAGAGAGAAAGAAAGAAAAAGATCTTCAGTGAATACAAAGGGGTGAACCCCTCCCACAAAAACATCTTACTGGATTTGTCTCCTGTACCTACAACAACATCCACAAGACTATGGGAAGACTTTTTTGCCCAGCAGAGCATACTGATTAGGAAAGATGTTTGGCAAAAAAAGGGCTAAAGTTAGAATTAAGAAATTAGATGATGGGATTTATCAGATGGAATATCTAAACATTAAAATCTTGTTTGAATATGGTTAAAAAAATAGAAAAAAATTGGATATAAATGTATTTTAGTTTAAGAGGGATGGGCCCCTCAAGTAACATAGTATTTTTTCTTCTTTTTTTCTTTTTATGATATGAGAAATATAAAGATGTTGGGGTGGTTTATATGAGGGGAATGCCTTAGATACTTAAGTGTAATTGATCTTGAGAAAATCTCAGTTGATAAAAATGTTCTGAATAGATTCAAAAAATTAGATGATTGGATTTAGTAGATGGAATATTTAAAGATTAAACATTTGTTGAGTACAGTTAAAAAGAATAGAAAAATTCTGGATATAAATGTATCTTAGCGAAGAAGGACATGTTTCTCAAGTAGTATACTATTTCCTTCCTTTTTTCTTCTCTTCTTTTTTTGTTTTGTTTTTTAAAGATATGAGAAATGTAAAATTGTTGGGATGGCTTTTTGGAGGAAAAAGACTTAAATATTTAAGTGTAATTAACTCTGAGAAAATCTTAACTGCTAAGAATGTTTTGAACATTGGGGAAAACCAATCTAAATAAGAACTTTGAAAACAGGATCTATGACAAGGTAATTAAGATGATTATTTAGAAAAGAAGCTTTATATTGATGTTAAATATTAGAAAAATGTTTATATTCAATTGTTATCTATCAAAATACTAAGAAATGTACTAATTTAAGGTTGTTAAAAGAGAATATTATTGGAAGAAGGGAAAATCAAAGAAAGCTACTATGTGGATTATGGAATTACAGAAATTAACTGTTATTCATTGTTTTCAAATATAAACTCAGACAACAAACTGTTTACCAAATATTAAGGTGACTATGTTAAAAAAATCAATAAAATATATTTTTAAAAAGAAAACCATTAAAAGCATATTAAATTAATCAGGCTCCCTATCTATTTCTTCTAGGAAATTGTATTAGTGGTATTTTTTGGAACTGAGTATGTGGTTCGGTTGTGGTCTTCAGGATGCCGCAGTAAATATGTTGGTTTCTGGGGAAGGCTTCGTTTTGCTAGAAAACCCATTTCTATCATTGGTGAGTATGTGTGGTTTTGTATAGTATGATTTATTTTAAATTAGAAAACAGAAAATATTGCACTGCATTATCTAAGAAGAGCTGATTGTCTCTGTTTTGAATTACAGACTAATCATAAGTATAGATTTGATGTACGATCATGATATAAAATTATTCTAATGAAGGCTGGTTGAGATGCTGAAATTAGGAACACTGGTTGTGGGCAATCAGTCAAGGAGAGTGGGCACTGCCATTATACTTTCCATTCTTTTTTGCTAGGGTAATTCTATAACCAGTCAACTATAAAACCTTGGATAAGGTGCTCAAAACTTTCCAGGGATTTAATTAAATTGTGGTTTTTAATGTGGTGGGAAAATATCAAATCAAATTCAGTTTTTGATCTGGTTCCAACCATTTTATTCTAGTCATAAAAAACTTCACAGCATAGTTCCTGATATCCCAATAAAGAGAGAAGTGATAGAATTTAAAAAGATTACTCATCCCTATAGTAATGAAATGATAGAACCAGTGATTTTAGCTCTATGTTCCCAGAAGAGTGATCTGGAGGTTAATATTTCAATCTCCAAAGAGCATAATATTAGTCATTAGTAACTATACTATCACTATGTGAGATGGGTGGATATGAATGTGATAAAATAAAATAAATATTATTTATTTATCTTATCTGTTGGTAGAGGTCTACCAAATATAAATCACTTTGTTCTGCGTTTCGCTCCAATCTAGGAGCATGTTTTGCAGGCAGACCTCACACACTGTGAACACTATAAATTCAAAATTTGTGGCTGGCAAAGAGTTAGTGGGAGACTAGTATAGCTATTTCAGGCTCATTAGCCCTCATCAGCTAGTCACACCCTTCAGGGATTCGAACCTGGGCAGCTTGTATGTTAGGCAACTGTATTACCCTTTTGAGCCACAGGTTCCCCCTTAATAAGTGCATGAAGTCTTTATAAAAATAAAAGCAAAGCAAAAGGAAAATAGAGTTTATATAATTTGATTGATTTGTATAATCAAATATTAATTTTCAAGCGGAACTGAATGCACAACATCCAAACAGAAGTACAATATTTTAGCATAAAATCTAAATATGTGCAAGGCACATAAACTTTCTAACCTACATTTATTTGCTTATATGCTTTTAATTTCCAGATCTTATTGTAGTTGTTGCCTCCATGATTGTACTATGTGTTGGTTCAAAAGGTCAAGTTTTTGCAACCTCAGCTATCAGGTAAATATGTTAACTGTAATTTTATATGGGTAATCCTCAACTTGCAACCACAATAGGGCTTGGAAGATTCATTCTTAAGTGGCATGTTCATTAAGTGAAGCATCACCTGACTACAACCATGATGTAAAAAAGATGTTAAGACTCTAGAAAGAGTACAGAGAAAAGCAACAAAGATGATTAGGGGACTGGAGGCTAAAAGATATAAGGAACGGTTGCTGGAAACTATGTCTAGTTTAATGAAGAGAAGGGTGAAGGGGGACATGGTAGCAGTGTTCCAATATCTCAGGGGCTGCCACAAAGAAGAGGGAGTCAAGCTATTTTCCAAGGCGCCTGAAGGCAGGACAAAAAGGAACGGGTGGAAACTAATCAAGGAGAGAAGCAACCTAGAACTAAGGAGAAACTTCCTGACAGTTAGAACAATTAACCAGTGGAACAACCTGCCTCCAGAAGCAGTGAATGCTCCAACACTGGAAGTTTTTAAGAAGAGAATGGACAGCCATTTGTCCGAAATGGTATAGGGTTTCCTGCCTGTGCAGGGAGTTGGACTAGATGACCTCCAAGGTCCCTTCCAACTTTATTGTTGTTGTTGTTGTTGTTGTTGTTGTTGTTGTTGTTGTTGTTATTATTATTATTATTATTATTATTATTATTATTATTATTATTATTATTATTATTATTATTATTATGGATCATCGCACAGTCAGCCAGATATTCAGGCTGGATTTGGCATTTTATCTACCTATCGAGTCCTTCCCAAGGACCTGGGATAGGCAGATGTGGATGTTTGATTTTATTACAGATATCATCGCAGGATGATGATGATGATGATGATGATTAATTTTATGATCTATTTTGCCATGATCATTAAGCTAATCGCCCGCAGTCATTAAGCAAAACATCACATGAACTTGCTGGCTTCCCTATTGACTTTGCTTGTCAGAAGCCAGCTGGGAAGATCGCAAATACTGTAGTGATTACATAAATGTAGGACGCTGCAACTGTCATAAATGCAAACCAGTTGTCAATGTTTGTGGCGATTCTCAGTTATCCAGGTCATAGTTGTCCCAAAGATGCTTTTTCACGAGGCAGCTGGACTTTCTTGTTTTTCTCTGAAGATGTTTCGTTCCTCATCCAAGAAGCTTCTTCAGCTTCTAGCGAAACGTCTTCAGAGAAAAACAAGACAGTCCAGCTGCCTCGTGAAAAAGCATCTTTGGGAAAACCAGTTGTCAAATACCCAGATCGCAGTTACATGAATAGAGGGATGCCTGAGGAGTTGTAAATCACTTTTTACAGTGCTTTTTTCATAACTTCGAATGGCACTAATGCTCATTAGGTGAGAACCACCTGTATAGTCATGAACATATATTATTCCCTGTCTTTTTTCTTTTCCATAAACAGACTACTATTTCAAAACTGTATTTTAATTTGTTTTCTTTCGTTTTCTTTGAATAAACAATCCCCCTCCCCCAGAGGCATCCGGTTTCTGCAAATTCTGCGCATGCTTCATGTCGATCGGCAGGGTGGCACCTGGAGACTGTTGGGATCAGTAGTGTTCATACATAGACAGGTATGCAAAACCTCAGACGGGAACTGTGAGTATTTATTTCTTTATTGTTGGGAGTCCAGATTCACATTATTTTTAGAGCCACCCAAAAGTGTCATTCCCAAAAAATATAACATGGATTAAAGCCAGGAAGTGATGTTTTATGTAACTTTGCCTACACATCCTCTGACTTCCCAACATAGGTTGTAAAGTCTGCAGAGGAACTTCTGGACTCTGGAGAAGTCTAGAGTCTTCTCCAAGACTCAGTAGGACCAATAGTAAGTTATTTGAACATTCACTAAATGAATGGTTGGCCTGAAAATAACGTGATATGAACTCTTGTCCTTTTAGTTGACTATATGCTGAATTAATAGGCTTATGTCCCATAATAGATTGCTCTACATTTTTTCTTATGACTGTATTATTACAGAGTATCATAGATTTATACAATTTTAAAGTAAATGCAATACTTTCATGTGTCTCTCTGTGTTTGTGTATATACACATAACAATTGCACCTGTTCCCCTACGTAACCATTAAGAGTGTCTCCACATCTTTAAAATAGATAAACGTGGAATTATAATAGTATTAATAAACAAGGCAGAATTGGTGCCTTTGCTTTTTATTATGAGCCTCACTTGAACAGAAAGTAGTTGCCTGTGGCTTCCTGTTTTGTCTGAACTATGAGAAACTGTAATTACTATATTTAATTCAAGCCTAAGTATTAAAATAAGAGATTCTATTAAAATTTGGGAACTGGAAATTTAAATCTCACCTGACTGCAAAATTATTTGGATTTGGTTGGGTCATTTATTATCTCTCAGCTGGATCAATTTTACAGCTGATATACCGATTGTCAATTCTACAAATGAGCATGGCTGCAGCCATTTTCCTTCTCATTCTAGGTTGCCACATAGAACGGAGAGAGGGGGGTTGCCCAGGTGCTTCGTTAGTCAAAATAATCTTTTGTCCCATGGGAACCAAGGTCATCGGCTGCTCCCGCAACTAGGGACTGGGCGTTGCATAAAAAGCCTACCAAATAATCATATTGGGGAACGTAGTTGCTTGCATAACTGTTATGGATGGGACATTTAATTTTGTATTAGAAAATTGTTACTTGTGTATCCAGACTTGGTTTCACTCTTGACCAAGCTGATACTTTGTAACTAATAAACATGTATTTGAGGAATTTGCAAGCCTCGGAGTTCTGCTTTATTTATCTCTGTCTGTCGGAACCATGACACAGATAAAATATAGGGAAAGAGCCATATACATTTACTTGAGATCTTGGAGGATAGACAGTATATAAATATACATACATACATTTTTGACTTGGTTTTGTACAAATCCAGAGCTGAAGTGAAGTTTGTTCAGATCCATCTATTCCTCTGAGGATAAATGAAAATCTGTTCTGAATTACTCAGTTCACTGCATAGACTGGTAGTCAGCAACTGTATGTTTTGTTTTCATTGTACAGGTAGTCCTCGATTTACAACAGTTCATTTAGTGACCATTCAAAGTTACAACAGCACTGAAAAAAGTAACATGGCCATTTTTCATGCTTACGACCATTGCAACATCCCCATGGTCACATGATCAAAATTCAGATGTTTGGCAACTGACTCATATTTATGATGGTTGTAGTGTCCTGGGTTCATGTGATCTCCTTTTGTGACTATCTGACAAATAAAGTCAATGGAGAAGCCAAATTCACTTAACAACTGTATTACTAATTTAACAATTGCAGTGATTCACTTAATAACTGAGACAAGAATGGTCATAAACTGGGGCAAAACTCACTTAACAAATGTCTCACTTAACAACAGGAACTTTGGGTTCAACTGTGGTTAATAAGTTGAGGACTGCCGTACAGGAAACACAGCATGGTGTTTTTTTTTGTGTGATTTAGATTAGTAGTGTTTGGAAAAGGAACATTTAAAACTGTAGTCTCAAAACAAGTTGGATTAACTGTTCCTGTCATTTGATTTGCCCAAACAATGGTTCCCTTCTTGACTGTGTCAATTGAAATATGAAAGGATTGATCTAGATCATGAACTTACTATGGAGCAAAGAATTAGAGTTACACCCAATTCATTAAGTTTTCCGGTTGGATTAGAGCACGGGTGTCAAACTCACCGCATCACGTGACGGGTCACAACGTATCGTGACTTTTTTTTGCATTGCTGGAGCTGGGGTGGGTGCGGCCTCCATATGATGCAACTGGCCCACGGGCTGGCAGTTTGACACCCCTGGATTAGAGTAAAAATATGGGACAAAGAACTAGAGTCACAGCCTGCTTCATTAAGGTTTCCAGTTGGATTAACTATGTTTACTCTAGAATAAGAAATGACATGTGGTTTGGCCATTAATACTCTGAACATATTTGAAACTGATAGTTATATTTTCCCAATCTGGAATGAATGGAAACTGGAAAATTAGGGGTTTCTTGTCTAATTGAGGTTGTGGCAAAGGGTGGAGCAAAAGATTTACATGCAGATTCATAATCTTTTGCATATCTTGGTTTGATGAGTTAGAAATAACCATCTAAATGTAGTCAGTCTAGTAGTTTATAGAAAGATGGAATATATGCAAATGTATTTTTCCTGAAACTCCCAGTGGATGATAGGTCTGAGATTACATTATTAAAATAATTTCTATGTACATATTGGATACAATCATTTTGAAATGCAAAACACTTTGCCAAAGAAGTTTTACTAAAAAGTGTTTTGATAAATCAGGAAGCAGTTCCTATATTGTTTTAAAAAAAATTCAAAGCCCTTCCAACTGCCAATGACTAGATCTGACTTTAAAGTAATTTCTACTTCTGTCTCGCATAACATGCTGTGGCTTACGTATACCTTGAATAGAAGATATAAGTTTTTCATATCAGAAGTTTTGTTTTATGCACATGCCGATTTAATCAATGAATTAACACCCATATTATTAAACTGACACAATGTTCTTTAATTGTCAGTTTTAGTTGTTAAATTTGTTACGATTCAATATTATAGTTTGTTGAAATCCAAGATTCGTTCATGCCTATTTCCATGATGCTTTTGACAATTAGTTTTAATCAGCAAATGCTATTTACTCTGCATGCTAACCTAGGACCATTTTGCTTAGCAACCATTTTGCTTTCAATCCGAGGAATGGATTGAAGCCATTAAACAAGATGAGGATGATAACTTTTAAAATTATGTAGAATTTATAAGAATTATTTTAATCTAATATTGATATAAATTAATTTAGATTTAGACTTCCTTCAGCACAAATTAGGATTTTTTTTCATAATGAGGTCTTTTAGATTGAGCTGTTTCAGAATTAGGCTTTCTGGCACTTAAAATTTCCTCTATCTGGATGTTACCCAATTAGTATTACTGGAAAATATAATAGGTCCACTGAAGTATGAACATGAGCATCAGGTATTATTTTTTCAAAATAGCTTCTGAAGACAGCAGAATTCCCTGTATGATTAATTATTCATTAATTGGTTCTTTTTCGTCTTTTAGGAATTGATAACCACCCTGTATATTGGGTTTCTGGGCTTGATTTTTTCTTCATATTTCGTGTATTTGGCTGAAAAAGATGCTGTGAATGACTCTGGCGAGCATGAATTTAGCAGCTATGCTGATGCACTTTGGTGGGGAGTAGTAAGTATGAAAGTATCAAACGTGATATGCTATATTTTTAATATAGGAAATATGTCACTATCTAAATTATTGGAAGAAAAAGTACATTGTGTTCTTATTCAGACAGTTGTGTCTAAACTACAATTTCATGACAAGTCAGGTTCAGGTTTTGGTGCTTTTGCTTCCTTCTATTAAGGCCACAAATAGCTTAGAATAGAAAAGTGCAGATTCCTAAACTCTGCATCAGATGGATCACCCAAACTAGTTTCAATGGGAAGATTTTGTTTCTACAACTAGAGCTTATTGTGCTACTTGAAATTAAACATTTTAGTTTTCATGTTAACTGTGGATTATTAAAAACAGTTGTCAAATCACATTTAAGATTAGCAACAGTTGAGAGTTCAGGCAGAACACTCAAATAGAAAGTTCCATTGTCAATACCATAATGGTGATGCTTGACCAAGGAAGCAAAACTCATGCAGTACCTCATTAATCAGAAAGAAGAGTTTAAATTATAGAATCTCAGAAATTAAATGAGAAAAACTGCAATCTTAATTTGTTCATGAAAAATAAGAAACCTGTTAAGGTGAGGTTTCTAAGAGCTGCTTAAATTTTCTTTCCATAAATTCTGTAAGACTAATGGATTAAGGCCTTGCTTAAGAGGTAAGGTTGAAATGTCCATCTGTTCTTCATTTGCCATACTTTGAACAACTGCCTATTCTTTTCCCAGAGTTTGAGAATACCCTCCTCCTGGATTTTTCATGGATGTTTGCAAAGTTATCCCCTTTATTTTAAAAGAACCAACTCTTTGCTATCTCCAGAACAGATAGAGGCAGGGGTCATCTGACTATATCTGTCCAGGAGTTACATCTCAGAGGGGCAGTGGGATTGAGCCTGCATCCTGACATGCAAGCTTCCTTCACAACAATTGTTTACCTTCACCTTTTTATATCCCACTTTTATATTTTTTATAAATAATTTAAGGTAACAAACCTAATGCTCCTTCCTCCTACTATTTTCCCCAGAACATCAACCCTGTGAGGTGAGTTCGGCTGAGACAGAGTCACTGGCTTGCTACCTAAGTTGGGACGAGAACTCACAATCTCCTGGTTTCTAGGTAGAGAAAGTGAAACTGAGTATTTGTATTAACATAAAAGAGCCCCACTGTCAGCCCCAGTCTAATCTTTTAACTTCTGTCTAGAATATGACAAAGAGGCAATATTCATGACTCCAGCACTATTTGAGGGCTCAGAGAAATTCATATCACTTTACTGGAGTTACATCACTACTGATTTGAGTTCTGAACAAGTAGATTAGTGTACAGATTCTGAACTGTTTCCTTTGATTCCCTGCAATTTCTGTTTCATCCAGTCTTCATTCAGGGCAGTTCTACAACCTTCAGCTGGCATCATACATTACAATGCTTTCCACTGGTTTTGTTAATATGACAGAGGTGGGGAATGATGGCCCTTTTATGACTTGTGGACTTCAACTCCCAGAATTGAAGTGGCTGGTTCAGGAATTCTGGGAGTTGAAGTCCACAAGTCCACAAGTCATAAAAGGGCCATCATTCCCCACCTCTGTAATACGACATTTGGCATGGCTATAGCTTTTACTATTTTTAATACCAAGATGATGAATTGTGTCATTTTGTCTATACAGTTGTGCTCTGTGGGCTATTTTCTGACGTCACAGAATTAGACTCAGTACCAGCACACCCATTCTTTTGCAGCACTACTTGAAGATAGAGCTGTTCTTTATTGATCATTTGCTCCTAGTTCACCCCACATTCCTCCTCCACAACTGTGACTGTCATCCAGGCTATTTTTAGACATGGGTTTAGTGCTACTTCAGACCAGTGCTAAACCTATATTCAGAAATAGTCTAACAGGTGACAGGCACAGTGCTGCTATTTGACAGATGTCAAAACAAGCTGCTTCAAATACTCATCTACTTTAATCTACATCTGCTACACCCCATATTATGGAAAGTGATTCATTGACTGTTTTCCTGCCAGCAGGTGATATTTGATAGAAAGGGACATTTGCCTATCATTTTCCGTAGCCTATCCTGCATTGAAACAATAAGGATAGTACTGACAGCTTGATTTATTATTGTGGCAGATGGGGAGTCAGCAATAAGATCAGCAAATTTTGTTTTAGTATATTTCTGCCAGCTCAAAAACTGGTGGATAATATTTTGGCCTTGTCCCCTGTCTGTCTATAAATGCCTTCCCTTTTCGCTTCCTTGTTGTTACATGTAAATAGAGAATACAATGAGATTGCTGATTGGTCTACTTTTTAAAAAGGTTTTAAGTCCTTTGTAAAGGTTTTATATAGTATTATAGTATATGGGTTTCTAGAAGCATGACTCATGTGGATTTTTAATTAAAAACGGCAGATGCAAAAAAAAATAATCCCACTGCTCTTGGGTTTAAGAGAAGCATATTTTTAGAAGGCATAGTGTTGCTTTCTAGGTGTTGCAAAGCTTTTCTCAGTAAAAATGAAAACAATCAGCTTATATAAAAAAGAAAAACCAAATGTGTGAAAATACAACTCCATGCTACATACAGTCTAAAAAGCATACAATCTGAATACACCACAAATTGAAAGATCAACAGAAATTACACAGAAATTATAGGCAGAAGTAAAAACAACCTGAATTCCTGTTGAACCTTACTCAGATGAAGATTATAAATAATTCCATTTATATAGAAACCAGAAACCATTTTAAATGCATATATATTGTAGGTGAAAAGACTGGTGAAAATCATAACATCTAAAACATTCAACTGTAAAAATTACAGGTTTGAGAAACTCTTCCTTTAAAAAAAAAAAAAAAGATATTGCGCATGAAATTTAAATAGCACTTTCTTAAGTGTTTGGATGGCTTCCAGAAGCTTCCAGAAGCAGAAATTTTTAACTGAACCTTTTGGAGAAGCCTGTGCTGAAAGGAATTGCTAATTGTGTGGAGGCTTCTGAAGCAAGATCTAAAGAGGATTACAGCCGCGAAACGGAAAAGTTTCAGGAGTTACACACATTTCCTGCCCAACATTAGTTTTGAGTTGACAAAGGGGTGAATAAGGCTATATAATTCTTTAATAAATGAAACAGAATTTTTAGTATTGCATATATAGTTTTATTAAAATGTAATATTCATCTTTCACACATGTATTTGGAATCCTTAATATTTTTAATACAGTTTAATATATTTACATACATATTCTTTTATATGTTATAACTATAACAGATTAGTGAATTGAGTTGCTATAAATAAATCTCCAATTGAGCAAAACCTTAGGGCAAAAATTATGCTTCATTCTTCATATGCTTCTGTTTTTTCTTTAAATATTAAGGACCTGAAAGTGCTTATGTTTAAAAGGACAAGATTTACAATTAGTATTAAAAGGGGTAATGGCTAGCATGTACTTTTTAGTGGATTGTATACCATTTCAGCTGCCCTAGAATAATTGTAAAATCCATTATGTAGTCTCCAAACTTTGTTTACATTTTCTTGCCTCACAAATATTGTAGTCAGTGCAGATATTTCCATTGACCACCACTCACATTTAATCCAAATTCCAAAATTGTTACAAAAAAAGCCAGAAGTCTTAGGGTATACAAAAGGCAGTCAGATATACTGTGGACCATAAGTCATTTTACACCGAGATATTGTTAAAAGGTTTGACATATGTCAAAAGGTTTCAGGCTATCTCAAAAATGCCCAACAATTGCAAGGGTTTTTAACACATTACAATCGTTAATTGATAAAGTATTTGTAATCTGCCTCATGCAACCTGCCCGTCATTAACCTGTCTTCTCCTCCCTTTCCGTGTCCTACCCACCTCCTCCCAATTAACATCCTATATCAGTCAAGTCACCCTGTGCAGCTCAGGAAAGCTTATGCCTCTTAATAAAATGTGATAGCTAGAAAAACTGCTACCAGACTGCCTCTGATTTTGGTGAATTGGTTAATATTTAATTAACTACATCTCTAGTTACCCCAACTTAGGAAGATACCTGAATAGCAGCGATCATCTATCAACAAGACCATAACATTTTAATTAAACAACATCATTCTTTTGTTTACAAATCACTCCTCTCTCTTGTCAGGCTTTGTTTGGGCTGTCATTGTTCTTTGTGATTTGTGTTCTTGTAACTTTCAACTCTAACCAGCTTTTGCGAGGCAGTGATATCATCAAAGTTTCAGTATTGCCAGATGCTTGGCCCTAAGCTTGCTGGGAGAGCAAGAACAGTGTTCTGTACATAATAGTGCTGTAAAACTATCCAGCTGATCAAACAAAGCTATTCAAACATTGCCTCCTCTTTTAGTATGTTACAATTCCAGTTTTGAAATAGCATAGACATGTGTAAAGAGAATAAATAACTTCTTACATATAAACCTCTTCTGTTTTGTAAAGAAAACTTGATTGCAGATATATATTGGATCTACTTGACAGATAACAGATAGCTTTGTATTGTAATAGTTCCACTTATTGAAGCTTTTAATTGAAAACAAAATGGCTGATTTTTTTTCTGTTTTGAAAAAATCCATCCCTTAGATACTTTTTTTTTTAAATGCTCCAACTGACATTTAACTGGTCAGTGTTAGAAATAAAAGACTGAACCGGAGGTACCTTTGATATGTTATAAGAATAATCAACAACATAACTTGTATTACAGCCAATGACCAGAATTCTACATGTAGTCAAATAATTAAATACAGTTTCTATTTTGACTAAAATAACACAACATAAAATTATAGCCAAATAACTGAGGCAATCACAGCAACAATTATTGCTGATGTAGTTATATTCAAGGAAATGATATTAGACTGGTCTGTTAAACTAATTCTACATAAAATAGTTCAGAATTGCCTGGGTACTTTGCCCAGAATTTGAGTTATAAAGCAGGACCTTCATCCTTATGGAGTAAGCAGTATAAAAGAATGTGATGTATGGATATGATACATTCTTCTCTCCAAAAGATTATCTTAATTTGTATTTGTTGAGAAGAGCTATC